CACCAACGTCTACGTAACACCAACGGCACGTAACACCAACACCATCATTTGACGGCACGTAACACCATTGACGGCACGTAACACCAACGGCCACGAGCGCATCATGAAATGACCATTATACTCCAATGTAGCGTTGACGGGCGCGCACGCTGAAAACAGTGACGCTACGTTTCCAAAACGCGAGCACTTACAGTCTGACGCCAGGCGCAATCAGCGTCCGTCGGCGCGGCCCGACGGCAACCGGCGCGAAATGTGACATGCTGCATTTCGCGCCGATGCGTTCCCCAGACAACACTGCGTCTCCCTCTTTTCATGACCGAGGGACGCTGGACGCGCTGAAACGCGCATGCGTGAAAGCAACGCAGCTCAGCACGCGCCTGCGAGTTAATGGCTGCAGGACCGGTGCCTGGCGTGGCAACGCCAGCGTGACGTGACGAAATGAATGCCGGCGAACACGCGCACCGCGTCACGTCGAAATGTATTGGCGTCTTGACTGTGGCATGTAGTCACGTTGTTACATGACACGCATCTCATGTTTAGCATGTTTGCACAAGTATCATACCTTCGTCATCCATTCATGTCCTGTCAAACCAAATTTGGTATAAGTGAAGCTAGCAAAACGGCCGCCAGCGCATCATGAACGTGGCATGTAACGTTGGTATTACATGACACGCATCTCATGATTATCATGTTTACACTAGTGACATACATTCGTCATTCATTCACGTACCGTTATACCAAATTTGGTATATGTGACGCTAGCGAAACGGCCGCGAGCGCATCATGAGCGTGGAACGTACTCATAATGTTACATGACACGCATGTCATGAGTTTCATGTTAAGGTCTGTCGCTTATGTTCGCCATGCAATCATGTCATAGCATACCAGTTTTACAACATGCCATGTGAACGAAACCACCGCGAGAGCTGCAGGACCATCAAATGTGAATCATGACATTCATGGCATACATATCATGATTTTCATGTTATGACTAGTCAAATATGCTCTTCATACAGTCATGTTTGTCATACCAAGTTTGGTATGACAAGTTTGGCCAGGAGAGCTAAGAGTCGTACGCGGCTAGATAGATAGATAGATAGATAGATAGATAGATAGATAGATAGATAGATAGATAGATAGATAGATAGATAGATACGCTCAAAGTCACTGAAGTTCGATAAAAAATGCTTCGCATTTAAAAACTTGGAATGTTTTCAGATAAAGTGGTCACCGCGTTGTCAAGTGGTCCCGGGCAAGTTTTCAGCAGAGCTACTTTCACAGGTGAAATGAAAGTTCAGTGTCATGGTAAGATTTTGACACCTAGAGCATGATCGAACTTCCCACCTTTCTATGGTGTGTAAGTGCTGCCATCTATGAACACAAAAAGTTCAAATCTGAGTTGCTTTGGAGCTGGTGAGCCCAAGAAGGATTGAGAAATTATTGCGAAGGAGTGAAGCCGTTACTCTGGCAAGATGACAGCTGTGGTGGCCATCTTACTAGGGGCATGATAAATTACCACCGTTCAGCGATTAAAAATGAAGCGTTTCCCTACAACGCCCAACGAGTTTAATGTGGGAGCTCTTTCGGGTCACATAGTGCTCCAAGTGCGTCTTACAGTTACTATAGTTTTCCTTAGTGAGCCTCTTATTGAAGGCAAAGTTCTTTGAAGACTCCGTCATCCATACTCGTTCCTGTGTGTTATTTCGTCGGGACCAACTATCTTTTAATATAGAACTAACGTAGCATTTACATAACATAGCAAAGCCACTTGATCTTTAAGTGGGCACCATCGGAAAAGAGCATGTTTCCGGCATCTTGGCAGTGGCAAAATGTCCTCCTTGGGTGAGCCCTCTTAAACCGAAAGCCAAAGTATAGCGATGAACACTAGCGCTGGCACTGATAGCGGCGAGCAGAACATCGGCTGTCGGTAAGATGCACTGCCTTTTATACATCGCGCGTCTTACTTTCCAGCCTTGTCACTAGTGGTCGCGCAAGCTCTGGAATAATCTTTTGTGTTCGCGTCCTGTGCGCTATCTCAACAAAATTATTTACTACAAACGCGAAGGTTCTTGAACACTGAAGCACGATCTGCACCGAGTATCGCTCATAGTCTTTGTGAATTTATACCAAGCACGTCAAAATTTAACACCCATGACAATATTCGTAGGTGTGCGCAGAGTATCCCACCCGGCAGAGGGTGTCGAAAATTTCTATTCAGTCTTCTTCAACCTTTGGTTCAATCTAAACAAAAACTTGCCGAGAAATGATTGAAATAATGAAACTGATTCTTGCAATAGTCGGCCTTCGGTTTTGACTTCCTGGGTGCAAACTTGGTCAGCAAGCAGCTGAACCAGCACTTGTAATGAAAGAACAGGTTTCTTTGGCGATCTTAACTCCCAAAAACCTGCGTGTTAATAACGTCGTTTTTTGAACAACGACGGAACAGTTCCAAATCAATAAAGGTATGAGGCAGACTTCGCCCCCATATTTACGTGTTCTGAAATAACGAAGGGAGAGTTGCTCCCCATGCCACCTTTCTGCTATCGCAAATGGTTATATCAATGGCTGCTAGAAAAAATTAGGGGACCCTTAGGCTTCGCTTTTAAAAGTTTAACACGATTGTGAAATCTGGCTTCTGGTGCACCCTTCAACTGCTAAGTGCAAAACTTATTAACATGTGTTGTTAAACACACACACACACGCACGCACACACAGATACACAAACGCACACACACACACACACACACACACACACATACACGCACGCTCACACACACGCGCACACACACGCGCGCACACACACACACACACACACACACGCGCACACACACGCGCACACACTCACACTGTAGGTTGTAGCAGCGCACAGGCGCGAATGGTACATAAATGTTTTTTATCTTAAGCAAGTCGCATAGCCTCCAAGATACACACCATGTGCTTGCCATTTAGGAGGGCATAGAGAGTCTCACAATGACTCACAGATGACAGCACATTATCTAGCGTTTGCTGTTTGCTTGATCAACGCCTCTGGAAAGGCATGATATGTTTTGCACTAGATGGAAAAAGTTTTCCATTTTTAAAGCTGTTTGAAAGTTCCTCTGTGTTTTAGCGGTGATGGCTGCACTATCCCGGCATTTTTCGACGTACTTTGATGGCCTCATATGCGCCTATAAATTGCCCAATGGGCTTGTTTTCGTCGTGACACCTGTCGAAAAAATGCGTTAAGGAGACTCCTTCCACTATATGGCATTTATGTAGTGTTTCTTCCCGAACCAACTGCAAGTAACATCGTGGCTTTTTGGTAGGACACCAGCTTGCCACGCGTACGGCCCGAGTTCAATCCTCAATGAAACCGAAACTTTTGTTTTTTTAATTTAGTTTCTTGTTTCTCAATTTTTCGCTCGCAACCAATGGTGCCGACGCTGACGGCGGAATTTCTGCGACACGAGCTTTTTAACGCTATCGCCTTAACATCCAAATCACAACATTCAAGTGATGTACGGCATAATTTACGCGCCACGCTCGTGTTCCGCTTGCGGCCGGTTCGCTAGCTTGATATACAATAGGGAGTTTTAGAATACCGTTTGCAAGCGCTGCGGGCGTAGCGGGCATAGCGGGCGCCATATGAGTTTTAGAACAGCGTTTGCCCTGCTGCGTTCCGCAACGAACGAACGCAGCGACACCGTAGCGTCGAAACCAGCGCTTGCGGGCCGCATGCGGGCCGCGATCGCCGCACGCAATTTCGGATTTTCTGCGTGCGGTCCGCAAGCGCTAACGGTGGCTCGCGTTACGACGCATGCACAGAGGCAGCGACCACACCGCAAGGGCTCGCTGTGCACTATTCTAAAGCTCCCTAATATGTCAGCCTACAACTGCTGTGGCGGGTATTCAAACGTTAGTGGTGCTTTTGTTACACTACTCTAAAGAGCAAGCTAGCATCTAATCTAGATTGCGCATAACATTTATTCTTGTGTTTACTGTGTACTACGTCCGTTCGCCCCCTAACGTTGTGCTGATTTAAAAACAACATATCAACGATCCCCATTCGTCATTCGCATATCATCATTTACGCAGTACCTGGGATGTGCCAGTTTTTTGTTGTTGTTGTTGTTTTTATTTCGTGCCTTTGTTTGTGTACTTTTTTCGTCCCATCTCTTTAGCGCTCGTTTTGTACTAGTAATGGAAAATAAACCTGCCCAAATGCGTATCCTAATTTATGTCATCAAAGTTTACCATAACCAGACCACATATCTGACCTGTAAAACTGCAGAATTTATCAAACCTTGTCTTCAATCCTTCTTTATCGGTAGTGACTCTCTCAATGCATATACTTGAAATCCAAATAATATATCGCATTACACTTTTTCTAAGCGAGGGTTATTCTCTCAAATGGCGATAAGAGCTAAAATGTTCCAGTTACTACAAGCTATTCTAAGCTAAATATTATTGTACACACGTGATGGCCTAATGCATTTGAGTGTGGGCTCAGAAGTGAGATATCGAACAACCCATACGATGATCATTGGAATGTTGGAATTTGGTAAAGCAGAATGATCTCGGGATTAGCAGTAGCGGTAATATCGCGCAATAAACAGTCACTGGAAGGAATAGCGTGCACACAGTGATTCTTGATGGTAATACGCGAGGCCGTAGAAAAATGATGACGGAAGTGTCTCTGCTGATCTTTCTATTTTATCGTTTTATAGACAGTTCACGTAATAATAAAGCCCACGGGAGGACGACCGCCACCGAATAGCTAAATTCACAGAGCATCGGACGCGTCACCCAATAGAGTTAGGTTCCGCCCTTATTGGCAGCAAGTTTCCTTTTCATCAACGTTAATTACTCCACATTTATTTCGGGACTAGTAAAATGGATTCTAGATGTAGTGCCCGGGATACATATCTTCTCTTCATCAGGGTTACATTAGGTCAGGTGTTATAAAGAAAAGCAGCCAATTGGTTTGTTTTAATTCTGACGCAAAATTACAAAACACTTACCGGCTGCAGCGACTGACACATGAGCCAAAGGCAGGACCAGTGAAAGTGCAAGAACGAGCCTGGTAATAAAAGACGACATCGCCACAAGCGACCGCGCTCGATAGGACAACATCGTCGACGAGCCTCGTCACGCTGCTGGCGTGGCAGCAGCCAACAGTGCGAGGCGCACGTAGATGTGTTCGACACGAGAAAGAGATGTTACGTCTGCCCTGAGTAAATTGAGCTGCTCAGATACCTCATGAGAATCATCCTATGGGCGTTAGTTGCCTGAACGCGATACCTGGGCTTGCACACAGCTTGAGAAGAGAACAGAAAGGGGGGGGGGGGGTCGTGGGTGAAAGATATGGGCAGATAAGACGTGAAAGCGTAGCCAGATAAAATCTATTCAGCGGAACAATAGATGGCGTTCGTCAAGCTTCATATCGCCAGTGTCGTTCATATCGCTGTTGCGTCATTTTCTACCAGCGTGTGTAGGCCAAGCCGGCGCTTTCGGCGGGTAACATCGTTCAGCAGAATCGTGACAATTTACGCAGCATCGACTGACTTTTATATATATTCTAACTTGTTCCTTTATATGCGAAGCGTTTCTTACTGAACTTCGGCGACTTCAAGCGTATCTATCTATCTATCTATCTATCTATCTATCTATCTATCTATCTATCTATCTATCTATCTATCTATCTATCTATCTATCTATCTATCTATCTATCTATCTATCTATCTATCTATCTATCTATCTATCTATCTATCCGCCTACTACACTTAGCTTTCCTGGGCGTCTCGACAATGGTATCAATACCAAACTTCGTATCGAATATTACGAATGTATTACAAAAAGAATTTACTAGTCATGACATGGAAATCATCACTTATATGTCATGAATGTCATGATTAGCAATTCGCAATATTGCTGCTCTTGCGGTGGTTTCGTTCACATGCGATTTTGCAAAACTTATATGGTATGACACGACTGCATGGCGAACATAAGTGCCATATACTAATGTAGAAATCATGACATGCGTCTCATAATTTTCATGTTATGATTAGTCATGACTGCACGCCACGCTCATGATTCGCTTGCGGTCGTTTCGCAAGCTTCACATATGCGAATTTGGGTATTACGCAATGAAGTATTAAGGTACAGCTGTGGCAACGTCTGTGTACAGCATGCAAGCAGCCGGTTTTCGCCAAGCAGCGCCAAAGCTTGAGGCACTTTCGAGCTCTGAAGTGGTGTATCAGGAGCATTCGTGGTCTGGTGTTCAGGCTGACCACGTCGGAGCCCGATACTCCCTCAAGGCTTCGTGCCGCAGAGCAAAAACAGACGGCCCGCGTGCTCTACACAGACGTGGCCGCCGCTGTACATTACTGCTCCAAACGTGATAGTCATGAGCGGCGTGTCATGCAAGAACATGACTACATGCCACGCTCATGATGCGCTGGCGACCATTTCACTAGCTTTACATATACCAAATTTGGTGTTACGTGACATCAATTCATGCCGAAAGTACATGACTCGTGAAAGTATGATAATCATGACATGAGCGTAATGCAAGAACATGACAACATACTATGCTCATGATGTGCTCGCGGCCCTTTCGCTAGCTTCAAATATACAAAATTCGGTATTACGTGACGTGAACCAACGACGAATGGGAATTACACTTCCAAACATGATGATTATGATATGCGTCTCATGTAAAACACGACTACCTGCTACGCTCATAGTGCGCTCGCAGCCGTTTTCCTAGCTACACTTACACAAAATTTGCTATCAGGTGACGTGAATAGATGATGAAGGCAAGTGACACGTCCAAACATGATAATCGTGACATGCGTGTGAGTTAAAACGCGGCTAGTTGTTAAGCTCATAGCTTGCTCGTGGCAGTTTCGCTAGCTCCACCTATAACTTCACGTGCTACTAAATATAATATCACTTGACGTGAATAGACGACGAAGGTAAATCACACATACAAACACAATATTCATGTTATGGAAGTCAGGTATGGCATAGTTTAAGTCCGCTTCGCAACGTTCTGCTGATATTAAAGTGACATATCAACTTTCTTCTTCCGTGCTTCGCGAATCATCAATTCGCGCAGGATGCAAGATCTGCCATTTTTTTATTGATTATGCGGTTTCCCAAGTTTTGACGATATGTGGGTTTTAACGTCCCAAAACCACCATACGAGCATTTCCGATGGAGGCGGAAATGTTGTAGGCCCGTGTGCTCAGATTTGGGTGCACGTTAAAGAACCCCAGGTGGTCTAAATTTCAGGAGCCCTCCACTACGGCGTCTCTCATAATCATATAGTGGTTTTGGGACGTTAAACCCCACATATCAATCAATCAATCAAAACCACCATACGAATATGAGAGACGCGTTTTCTAAGTTTTCTTTCAAACTATTAGGAAAGCGATACTCTTTTTATTTCATATAACAGCAATCTTAAGAACTACTTGGGTACGCTCTTTAGAATTACTACAAATAAACAAAAGTGCATCTGTGTGCTTCAATATGAGTGGTATTTCAGTTTTTAACGCGAGAGCGTTCAAGAGCTTGTTTTGCTGAAATCCGAATGTCTGTTCCGGCGTCATTGTTTGTGAGCGAAAAATCCGGAATTTACACGGCCAAATCCTTGAGAAAGATGTAAATAAAATAAATTATATAAATATTCAGTTTGCTTGAGAATCGTATCCGCAATGCATTGAATGAAACTGAATGCAAAGCGAATGGTAATAATAGAAAATAAAGGAAACGCGAACTAAACCAAGAAATAAGGCGCCCATGGTGGTAATGTTTTGAAAGTCGGCTAAATAAACCAGAGCCAGCTGCCCCACCGCAGTGGTCTAGTGGCTAATGTACTCGGCTGCTGACCCACAGATCGCGGGTTTAAATTGTGGCTGCGGCGGCTGCATTTTTGATTTAGGCGGGAATGCTGTAGACCCATGGGATCAGATCTGTGTGTACGGTAAAGAACTCCAGCTGGTCACAATTGCTGGAGCCCTCCACTACGGTGCCCCTCACTTGGTTTTGGGACGTTAAACCCCACATATCTGTCAACAAAAGTCGGTAAATAATGCATAAATTATGGATATCACCCGCAGATGGAAAAGTGATTAGCCAGCCCAACCACGACGAATAGCTCAAAAAACTGTTTGGACAGGTAGGTTGAATGAAAACTGACTGTACGTGAACTAGAATTCTTCATAGAATACTTAATTTTTTCAATTAAAGCGTAGGCCGTATTTCGAAACCTGAAGAGGCAGTATTGTAGAAGAGGGCAAGGCAGTTATGAGCATTCTTCTCTACCATATTTGTCGTGGAGTGATAGTTTAATAGGGATGAGATACCAGTATTAGTGTTGCATGCATCGCCGATTTATTTCTCAAGCGATCATCATAAATGACAAAAAGAATGTACGGTTTTCGTTTGTTTGAGCAGCCGCAGGGCAGCATTGTCAGCTGGAATAAGAATACTTCAGTAGAAATACGTTGTCAAAGGCCTGCTTATGTCGAACATTCATGACAGTTCAATTTGAGGGGCACGGTTTGCTTGATAAGAATACATTGTGAAACAGTTTAGTGACAACAAAGCAATATTCCAAACCCAAACGCTTTCCAAAAAAAAAATCTTGCAGTCCACTCGCTGCCCTAATTAACAAAATAATTGCACTCATTGGGGTGTAAAGGAAACCAGTATTATCTTAGAGTAAAGGAAACACTGCACATTCACTACGTGCTGCGTGATCGGCATAAAAAAAAAAACTCAGCTAGGCTATGAATGGGGTCTACCGCCATTCATGCGATAACATACAACACTTATCTGTACTGCTCCACAGGAAGGCCAGCAACAATGGCCTCTTATATGTCGTCCACTGACAAGGGGGTGAAATATCTGCCGGCATGGAGTCCGCCTACGGCGCGGGTTGAATCAGATGTTAGAAAAATCAGGATAAGGTTGCATTGAGTCGCGCAATGTCAAAAGCAGGAAAGCTGTTTGATTCCAAAGACGAAACGTTGTTTTAGAGAAGAAGTAACTTAGGGCCAAGGTTAGTCCATCCGATGATGTCTGTTGGCCGTGACGGGGAGATGTGCGGATGTGAGGCACAAGAAAAAGTTAAAAGATAAAATATTACCAATTAAAATTTTGAAAGAACAATGTGAATTATCAACAGAAACCCTTTATACGAGTTGGTGACTTCATTGTTGACGTTGGAGCTTATAACTTAGCTTAGTCATCAAGTCTTTGTCACAATATACCAATCAATGTACATTCATTGGAGTAACTCTCAGGTAACGTACAGTTACTCACCCATACAACACCCAGTGCTTCGCGCACTTATCACGATTCACTTCGCGGAGATGCATGTAAGTTTTAAAGTTCTTTCATGGTATTATCAAGATACCGAAAGCTTTATGTTGCTTCTGCGTTGTTGCTGTGTGTTTAGAAAAAGTGGGTAATGATTTAGAGTATTACGTACTGCTGTGTGTTTAGAAAAAGTGGTTAGCGATTTAAAGTACTCGGTACTCTACTACGGGAGAGCTGAGAGCCGTCCTTTGGGCGTTCGCTTAGCTCGTATTCCCTTAGGCTTTGGTTAGATGACGCTAAATTCTTTACACGTTGATCCTTAGCGCATAGAGGTTCGAGTTATACCATGGGAAATCAAGACATGACATGGTTGTTGATCTCCAAAGATAAAAAATGCCAAGGCTGTGTGGTACGCGCAGTACAGTAACAGCGAAAGTTGGAAAAGCACCCTTTCAGAGTCTCTTTTAATCACTCTTCGGGTAACTCCTACAAGTACACTTGCTAATTACTCACGACGCCATATATAAGGAAGGAAGGGAAATAACTTTAGGTTGCTCCTGATAAACGTGAATCATAATTTTAAGGGCAAAGCTGCTTAAACAGTGGGTCGTGCGTCCATGATGTATGTAATAGTAGAAGTAGTAGTAGTAGTAGTAGTAGTAGTAGTAGTAGTAGTAGTAGTAGTAGTAGTAGTAGTAGTAGTAGTAGTAGGGCGTCGTAGTCGTACGTAGCCGCCTACGTACGACTACGACGGGCTAGAGGAGTGGCACGCACACACTCATTTGAATTAGGAGGAAACCCACGCACACTAGTCAGGAATAAAAAATTATTTCTGTTGAAATAGCCTA